AGGGGCAGAACCTGCCTGTGTAGTACACAGAAATAATGTTCGAGGTATCAGGGTTTCCATAGCTAGAGAGAGAGAGAGAGACGGAGAGAGAGCAGCTTTACTCCCCATATGACCTGCAGTTTGAATCCTGGTTCTGCCAAATAATATTTGTGTGTGTTCCGTGAACTTTCTTCATCTATAAATTAGGATTGCTAGGAGAATTGGAGAGTATGGATTTGCAACACTTGTCACATGGTATGTTCTAGTGAAGAGTGGGTGTCATTATCATTACACTACAAGCTCATGACCAAGGTAAAGTTGCTTGAGCCAAGGGTGGTAGGTCGTTCTGTCCCTGGATAATGGAGAATTATTAGCCCAGCCATGTCTTATGACCTGACTTTGGCATCCTCATGGTTGGGAGTAATGAAGCTGCTAGTTTGGGCTGCTCTCGACAGCGACTGAGCAAACTCCCCCCCTCCCAGGACTAACTCCTTCCATTTAGATTTAATAGATTGGGCTTTAACAAGGTTGTTATTATATTTCAACAAAACCCTGGCTGGCCAGGATGAAATGTTTACTGCAAATTAGGAGCAAGAAAAGCTGTCTCGGCTACCTCTCTGGTCTATCTCAAGCACAGCTCTGAATAATTAATTTGTCATTTCACTACTACACAATTGCTGGCCTATTAAGCCAAGAATCCTGTATTTATTATATGCTAACTTAGTGGCAAACAAACAAAACCCGAGTCAATAGTTGTCTTGCCAGTTATTAAAAGCTCCTCTCCCTGAGGATTTATGTGGGAGGCAGTGCACGTCGGGAGGGCAGTGGGATTTAGGAGCAGCCAGTGGAGGTAGGGGGATGCTGAGGAGCACGTAGCACACTCTTCAAAGCCCAGGCTGCTCAGGAGGGAGGGGACCACCATGAGAGTCTGGGGTAGGTGCCAACGGAACCACCTGGATTCCTCTGCAACATCACACCAGACCTGAAGCAGCTAACCAGAACACATTCGGTTTTGTTTGGAAACTCCTTATTGCCCCAAGATAGGGCTTAGAGGCAGGAAAGATACATGGAAAGTGGTGGGGATCCCAATGTTAGGACTTTTCCCACCAAGAATAATGGAGCATCGATCAAAAAAAAAAAAATGGAGAATTGAAGATTACAGCCTGTGTTGTACCTGATTACACGCTACGGACATTAACAGTAAGGGCTTTGAAAAGGAAGCAATTAGGATGCTATTGACTGCACATAAAAGAAACCCCAACTCCAAACAGTTTACACATTAGGGAAATTAATTCTCACCCACCAGGAAATTCAGAAGCAATATAAGTTTCTCAGCTGGGATTAGATTTGGTTGCATACAAGAGAAAACACACAGTAAGAGTTGCTTCTGTTTCTCTCACATCACTGGTAGGGCAGCTCCACAGTCATCAAGGCCCTGCAGTTTCTGCCCTGCCATCCCTAGCACTCTTCCTCCCATGAGTTAGCTTCATGGTCCCATAACGACTGCTGCAGCTCTAGACTTCCTGCCCACATTCCAGGAAGTAGGAAGCTAGGAGGGGCAAGGCAAAGAGCCACTTAACATTCAATTGGCTGTCCCTGTGATGAGGGAGTTTGGAAATGTGATTTTGTATCTGGGTACCTTGCTATATTCATCAATATAGATTCTGTGTTACTAAGGAAGAAAGAGGATGCACACTGGAAAGGCAACTAGCAGTTTCGGCTGCTGGAGGTCTCTAGAATGGATTATTTAGAAACTCAACCCCACCATCAAAAAAAAAAAGCAGATTCTCCCCATCTCTGCAAGGGTTGTCTTGGGTATGAGCCTCATCTTTAGATCTGGGAGTAAAGTGGGCAACAGCTCCAAATGCCCCAGGCAGATGTGACAACATCCAACGGAAGATGAACAAAACTACTCCTGGCATGGCATGTCCCCTGAGAAGTGAGAAAGCTTCATTCAGGATCCCATCAGCAGGCTCCCAGTGGTCAGCATCAGGGGAGGGGACAAAACAGCCTCCTCTCCCCTGGAGATGAGGGTGAGCTCCTAGGACCTCCAATTCCCTGCAGCACATGGCTGCATGGGGAGCCACACTGAAGCTCCATCAGGAAGGTAGAAGGCTGGGAGGGATCGGTGCAGGATGCAAAGACCAACTCCATCCTACTCTCAGAACTTGGGCCATGGACTTCGTCCCTCCAAGCTGGGCTTTCCTTAGACTGTTATGAGACTGGAATGAGATAACCTCTGCCATGTGTGTATGCAATTTTACAGTTCTGTATGAATGAGGCTCTCCCAAAAGTTCATGGAAAATGCATACTATGAGAAACTATGGATTTGAATTTTTGCATTAAAATAAACTCATTTTTGCTTCCATTGTTTCCATGAACTTCATATGATCTACTCCAGCTCTTGTGACACAAGTAAGGCTGGCAGGTCTCTGTTGCTCAAATACAAGGGAAGCTGCTTGAACACCAGTGGGCATACTCTTGAGACTTGCCTTCTTGGGGCTCATGAAGCCTGAAAAGGAGTTACCATGGCGCCACTGCGAAGCAGAGACAAGGCCTGCATCCCTTGGTCTTCCATTTCCCCTGCTGCGCTTGCTCCTTGCTACTTTGGAACAATGCAAAGTAGAAATCCATACCATGGCTGGCTGGCGGTGATCAGGATCCTCTCTGTGTGATGCACTCCCGCTGTGCTGCAGGAGGGAACTTGTTCTACACCCCCACAGGATGCCATGGCCCTCCCCACGCTGGTTGGTGCCACTGCTTGGTCATGCCACACCGCCTCGGGAAGGGAGACTCTCCCCAGCTCAGGAACCACTCCCCCACACCTTCACGGTCAAGCCAATCCCCTTGTCTGCACCCCAGGATTCATGCCCAGTTTTCTCATGCACCCCATAATCCTTCCCCTTCCATCCTCGGCCTCACAGGTACTATTCTAAAACAGACCAGGCGTCTCCCCTGCTGGGAAGAGCTCACACTCACTGCCCTGATTCTCATTTTGGGAAATCCTTCCCTCCTACTTTTTCATCCTTCAACACCAGCTATTCCTGCTTCATTGTCCTGCTGGAGCCTAAAACCCCTTCTTCCCTACCCTCACCATGCAGCTGCCATGTGAATGGGGGAAGTGTGGGTCCAGCACAGGGCCACGACCCCTAGAATGTGATTGGTTCAGGTAACCTAAGCCAATCTGCCATTCTGCATTCTCTAATCAAAAGAACTTAGTCAAAAATGGACAGGAGACTCAATTCAAATCAGTGTGACTTGAGGGGAGATTTTTCAAGGAACTTCTGGGGGTAGGGAAGATTTCTATTTCTCCTTATAAATAATGGAGAGGTGAAGTCTGGAACTCCTACAGCCATTTTGCCACCATGAGGAAATCAGGCTGATACATAGAGTAGGAACAGAAAGTTTAAAAGAAACCACCATTTGATGATATTCGTAAGCCCCAGAATCAAGCCAGCCCAGAATGCCTTCCAGGTATATGGGCCATAAATCCATCTCCTTTATTGTTGAAGCCATTTGCAAGTGAGTTTCTCATAGACAGAACATACAGTGATCTAAATGATCCAGAAAGGCATCCAGACCTTAGAAAGACCTTGAGTCTCCCTGACTGGCAGTAAGAACCACTGGTCGGGGGGGAATATAGGAAATATGGACCTATGCTCAGGATTCAATCAGACTTTTAAAGGAAGTCAGCCTACACCTGAAAGCAAGGAGCATTAAATGAAGGGGCTCACTCATTAGCCCATCCATCACTCACTCACCCATGCACTGGGAATTAGAATTCTAGGTGCCTCTACAGCTCAGCACCAGCACCCAGCCTCCATCCCCATGCACGCCTTAAACCAACTCAGGCATTACCCCCAGGCTGCTGATTTTAATGAGGCTTCACTTCCTCTCCCTTCCTTTTCACCTTCAAGTTCAGGCCCTTCCTCCCTCAATTCCTGGCCCATCGGGGCAGCTTCTGGAAGGTCACCTCTCCATTCTTCCTTCTGACAATCTTGTGCCATGAAGCATGAGTCATTTATTCTGACGCATGAATCATTCATTCTGTAGCATTCTCTCGATCATTCCAATCTGCTCAACACTACGTGCTGAGTATGATGAATTTAAACTCTAAGAACATAGAAAATCCCTTCTGTAAATTTCTTGGCCACAAGGTAACCCACTATTCATGGTTGGGTATGCATCCTCAGAGCTTCTTTCTAGGTACACATCTATTTGGTACTTTTCTTTGTCAACAATGTGCCATACAGCTTTATAAAAATTACTATACTACAAGCGAGGGATTGCCCTGAAATCACATTAAGAAAACCATGCCTGCATGATGCCTTAGGGCTACATTCACTCAAAATAATGGAAATTTAAATTCCCATTACCCCACAGGGGGAGTATTCTGAAGCCCACATCTCCAATTTTTGATGCTATTGCATATCTATTGTTTCATTCTCCACTGCTTTAATTAGTGCACAGTATTGTCTGAAGCGGTGTCATTTTTATTGCAGCTATGGCCAGAGGCAGTTAACACAAAATCCACAATATTTTTAATTTCAATGTAATGATTCAGTCTAATGATTCCATTTCAGCTACCTTGGGGGGTACAAACTCCCAGCACCAGAAATTGCAAACAAGTGGGGCCAGAGCTGTGGCATAGGGTGAAGCTTCCACCTGCAGTGCCAGCATCCCCTGTGGGCCCTGGTTCAAGTCCTGGCTACTCAATTTGCCACCCAGCTCCCTACTAATGTACCTAGGAAAGGAGCAGAAGATAGCCCAAGTGCCTGGGTCCCTGCACCCACAAGGGAGACCCAGAAGCAGCTCTTGGCTCCTCGTTTTGGCCTGGCCCAGTCCCAGCCATTGCAGCCATTTGGGAAGTGAGGATGGAAGACCTCTCTCTCTCTCTCTCTCTCTCTCTCTCTGCCTCTCTCTCTGTAACTCTGCCTTTCAAATAAATAAAATAAATCTTTTAAAAAAAAAGTTGCAAACAAGAAAAATTGGTCCAGGGTTATATTAGAAAGAACACTCACCAGAGGGTCTATGGCTGGGTGCAGACTTCTGAGGGTTCATGGCGCCTTGTGTTCTCAACCATGTGCAGAAGGGTAGAACCAAAAGCTTGGCCTAAGGGTGAATAATTGGCACAGTGGTTAAGATGCTGCTGGAGACACCTGCATCTAGGAGAGCCTGGGTCCCAGGCCCAGCTCCAGTTGCAACCCAGCTTCCTGCTAATGTGCACCCTGGGAGACAGCAGGTGATGGTCAAGTACTCAGATCCCTGCCACCCATGTGGGAGACCCCGATTGAGTTCCCAACTCCTGACTTAGGCGTGCCCCAATGAAAGATATTTTTCTCCCTCTCTTTCTCTTTCTCTCTCTAAGTAAAATTGAAAAAAAAAAAAAACTTGACTTACAATGGTGCTATTACTATGCCAGCTTCTGGAGCAAATAGTGTCTCATAATTTCCAATCTGTTGTAACCAGGCACCACAGTGACATTCCAGGACTGCTCCCAGAGCAGCCAGTGATACGTAGCAGAACTACTAAATCTTGAGTCTGAGCTGAGTTTTCCACATGGGGGAGGGGTTTGGACCAGGTGACCTGGAGACACGGGAGCAGGCTGGAATCTGGCTCTACCGTTTCAGAGCTGTGCCAGCTTGAGCCAACTTACTTAAACTCTCTGAGCCTTGGAGGTGATTAAACCCACCAAAAGGGGTTTGTGAGGATACGACTTGAACTGCCTGGCAGGCAAGAAGACTTAGTAAATGGCATCTGTTATTAGTCTAGCCCTGGTCATTAAGAGATTGGCCACTGCCTTTCAGTAAATACTTCTGATCATCTTACCCAGCAACCCCGTCCTCCCAGCAGCTCCCCCGAAAAACAAAACAAATCACAAAGGAGTGGGTGGCCAAGGAGAGGATTTATTGAGTCTGGAAAGGATGTTTATGGAAGGACAGGAGGGGCGGTAGCCGAGCAAGTCCTCTGTGGGGTGACGTTGCCAAGAGGCATTACCGAGACCTCAAAGCATCCCCAGCCCCTCCCAGGCTGGCCAAGCTCCCTGCTTCTCACTCTTTCCTCAACCTCCTGGGCCCTGGCTGGGCTTCGCTTTCCTGGGAAACACAGATGGTCAGCCCAGAAAATGCAGTCTGGATTTGAGGCACGCCTTGGATGCGCTCTAAGTTACTCTGCCCTGGCAACGAAAATCAATCTCTCTCTCTCTCTCTCTCTCTCTCTCTCTCTCTCTCTCTCTGTACCCTGCCCACTCCCTGCCTTCCAGCCACTATAAAATGACTTCCAGTGATAGGAAAAGCAGAAGATGCCCTATTACATTTCTTGACCCTAACACAGGTCTCAAACTCCCTTCCTAATCAGAGAGGCACCACTCAAGAAACATATGGAAATAAAAAATACAAGCACTGCTACTGTTGTTGGGCCTGTTTGCCACCATAATTCTCATTAATGCAGGCCCAAGGCAGGTGTATCATTCCGTAGTGTATCACCACACACGTGAATGACAAATCACACAGCTTACTTTTGGCTTTTATTGGCTCCTTATAAAAGATACACAAAACATATTTTTGCTGAGATTTTGCAATACAATTCTATTTGTTTTATTCGTGGCTAGGGTTTTTAGTATTTTATTTTATTTATTTTCAAGGGAGAGAGAGAGAGAGGAATATCTTCTATTTGCTGGTTGGCTCCCCAAATGCCCACAGGAGCCAGGAGCCAGAAACTCCATCTGGGCTCCTACATGGGTTGCAGGGACCCAAGTACTTGAACTGTCACTGCTGCCTTCCAGGGTGTACACTGTCAGGAAGCTGGATCAGAAGCTGGGTGGGGCCCCATCCCAAGTACTCTGATATGGATGCAGGTGTCCCAAGCGCAGCTTCACCTGCTGCACCACAACACCTACCCCTCATTATTATTTTAAAAGGAATCCAAGGTATACTTTTTAAAAATCAAACACCACAGAATGCTGGGATGGATGTGTACAGGGTGATGGCTCAGCACAGAACCGAAGCACTCCTGCCTTATCTGCCCTGGCACTTGGCAGAGGTGGATGGGGGGGTGCTGGAAACTTTGACCCAGAAATGGACCGAGCAGATCCCCATTTTCCATACCGTAAAAGCTTGAATGGAAGGTGACTGTGGGATCTCAGAGCCTCACCCTCGACAGCACCCTCTGGCCTACCAAACCAGGTTACCCACATTGGATGCTTGATCACACCCACTTCCCAGTTCTTCCGGAGATGCCATTCCTTGCCACCAGTGGGTCCTCGACTGATCCCAGTGTACTGAGACCAAACTTTACACCCTCACACCGACAGATCCACAAACTGTCACACTCTTTAATTCCCCATGCATCTGTGGGATCTTACCTTTTAACTTGAGCTGCCCTACACATCCACGCATATTTACATACAATCCCCACCACGCGATGGAGGATGAAAAAAATACATAGAAAAGTAAAACTGCCTCCCACTCACAAGTGCCCTTTTAAGGAGTAACACTATTAACAGCTTAGAATGTAACCTCTGAGTCCTTTTTTCTATGCATCTGGGTGTGTGGCTTTTACTATGGAAGGTTTACTGAAACCATCATATGCCAGGAACTGTATTAAAATGTTTCACCTGCTGTATTTTACCTAAGCTCATAATCCCACTGAATTTTCAGTTTTCACTGTGAGGTGAGCATTAATATCCCATTTTAGAAATGCAAGAACCAAGGTAGGAAGACTTCCATAGCGTGGAGCTCTTCTCACTGATTCCGAACAGCCAAGTAGACCTGTCATCACCCCTAACCTAGCGGGGGTCTCAGCGGGGAAAGTGACCGTCTCAGCATGGGGGAGTCACGTGCTACACTTTGCTTTGCTGGCCTGGATTTGCCCCCCCTTGAGCAAGCGCACCATGTGCAGGCCAGGTACACCAGAGGAAGCCTTTTTTTTGTCACCATTTCTTCTTACCCATCTCCCAGTCATTGTATGATCTTCCCCGCGTCATCCCCCAAAATAACTCACTCAGAAAGTGAGTGGCTAATCAGCAGTTACCTCCTCCTTCCCTCTCTCACTCCCTTTGATTAATTTCTCTGCTTGTTAACCAACAGAAACAAGCAGGCAAAGAAAAGACTCCAAAATAATTTTTCCCCTAACCCTTCCCTCTCCTTGTAGTTTCCCTTCTGCTTGCTATCATACGTCTAATGAGAGAGGTAGAAAGTTTGAGCAAGGGAAGAGCAGCTATGGTTTGGATGTGGCTTGAGTGTCTCCCCCAAGGATTCATTGTAAGGTATTAAGAAGGTGGAAATTTCAACAGTTTGCACCCCCATAGAAACACAAAGTGAAATATACTGTTTGAGTACTCGTTATAGCATTAAGCCTCAGTGTACAGCACATTAAGGACAGAGATCCTACATGAGGAGTAAGTGCACAGTGACTCCTGTTGTTGACTTTACAAATTGACACTCCTGTTTATGGCATCAGTAATCTCCCTATGCACCAGTCATGAGTTTCCAAGGCTATGGAAGCCCCTTGAGTTCTCCGACTCTTATCTTGTTTAGACAAGGTCATAGTCAAAGTGGAGGTTCTCTCCTCCCTTCAGAGAAAGGCACCTCCCTCTTTGAAGACCTGTTCTTTCCACTGGGATCTCACTCACAGAGATCTTTTTGCCAGAGTGTCTTGGCTTTCCATGCCTGAAATACTCTCATGGGCTTTTCAGCCAGATCCGAGTGCCTTTAGGGCTGATTCTGAGGCCAGAGTGCTATTTAGGACATCTGCCATTCTATGAGTCTGCTGAGTATCTCACTTCCCATGTTGGATCACTCTCCCCTTTATTAATCTTTACTTAATGTACACTAAACTGATCTTCTGTTAAAAAAAAAAAAAAGAAAAGAAACTATCAATTCCCAACTTGACTCTCACTGGGATTAAACATGACAATAGGTCTGATCTGATTTCATCATCATTTAAAAAAAATCATCTATTATTTTTCACTTTATGTTTCTGTGTGGGAACAAACTGTTGAAATCCTTACTTAAGGTATACTAAGCTGATCTTCTGTATACTAAGATAATCGAAAATGAATCTTGATGTGAATGGAAGGGGAGAGGGAGTGGGAAAGGGGAGGGTGGTGGGTGGGAGGGACGGTATGGGGGGGAAAGCCATTGTAACCCATGAGTCGTACTTTGGAAATTTATATTCATTAAATAAAAGATAAAAAAAAAAAGAAAAAAAAAAAAGAAAAAAAAATCATTTCTATATTGACAAAGCCAACACATTTTATCAAAACTCTCAGCAAAATAAGACTTTTTTCTGACAAAAATATTCTAATTCCATTTCTATGTCAAATAAATATGTTAATATAAGATTAAGAAATGTCATCAAATGTTTCTTGCATTTCATTTGCATTAAATGTGGAATAAACATCACTAAAACTACAAAAAAAAAAAAAAAAAAAAAAGAAGGTGGAAATTTGAGGCCGGCGTTGTGGCGTAGTGGGTAAAGCCACTGCCTGCAACCCCAGCATCCTATATAGCGACCAGTTCAAGTCCTGGCTGCTCCACTTCCAATCCAGCTCCCTGCTAATTAGCCTGGGAAAGCAGTGGAAGATGGTTCAAGTCATTGAGCCCCTGCACTCATGTGGGAGCCCCAGATGAAGCTCCAGGCTCCTGGCTTCAGCCTGGCCCAGCCCTGGCTGCTGTGGCTATTTGGGGAGTGAACCTGTAGATAGAAGATCTCTCTCTCTCTCTCTCTCTCTCTCTCTCTCTCTCTCTCTCCCTCTCTTCCTGTAACTCTACCTTTCAAGTAAATAAATAAATCTTAAAAAAGAAAGAGAGAGGCCGGCGCCGCGGCTCACTAGGCTAATCCTCCGCCTAGCGGCGCCGGCACACCGGGTTCTAGTCCCGGTCGGGGCGCCGGATTCTGTCCCGGTTGCCCCTCTTCCAGGCCAGCCCTCTGCTGTGGCCAGGGAGTGCAGTGGAGGATGGCCCAGGTGCTTGGGCCCTGCACCCCATGGGAGACCAGGAAAAGCACCTGGCTCCAGGCTCCTGCCATCGAATCAGCGCGGTGCGCCGGCCGCAGCGCGCCGACCGTGGCGGCCATTGGAGGGTGAACCAACGGCAAAGGAAGACCTTTCTCTCTGTCTCTCTCTCTCACTGTCCACTCTGCCTGTCCAAAAAAAAAAAAAAAAAAAAAAAAAGAGAGAGGGAGAGCACCCAGAAGACAGAGACACGTACACGTGTGCGGATGCTCCCTCCCTCTCACCGCGTGAGGTCCTGCACCACCAGGGAACCCTGCCAGCAGAAGAGCTGTCATCAGATGCAGGTCTTAGACCAAGGACTTCCAAAACTGTGAGCCAATTTTGTTAACTTATCCCATCAAAACATTTAAAAAGGGGCCACCACTGTGGCACAGTGGGTTAGGCCACTGACTGTGATACTAGCTCCCATGTCAGAGAGCTGGCTTGGGTCCGGGCTGCTCCACTTCTGATCCAGCTCTCTGCTAAAGTGCCTGCAAAAAGCAGCACAGGATGGCCCAAGTGCTTGGGTCCCTGCCTCCCACATGGGATACCCAAACGGAGTTCCAGGCTCCTGGCTTCGGCTTGGACCTGGCCATTGTAGCCATTTGGGAAATGAAACAGATCTTTAAAAATAATAATAATTAAAAACTTACCCACTCTTTTTGGCTTGTGCTACTGGCAACAGAAACCAAACTGATACATGAGCTTTGACATATTCCAGCTTTGTAGCAACCCTGGGTTCACTTCTTCCAGCCGCATTCCAGAGCTGTAGAGGATACTGTAACCAAGATAGTGACAGGGTTTGCACACATGAATAGCACTGAACAGAGGAGATGCCAGATGAAACTTCCAAGGTGGAGGTCAGGTAAAGTGTGCTCAAGTTCCAGGACTGTCAAGTTGCTCTTTATGCAATGCTCTGAAGTCTGTCTTTCTCCTTCACCAAATAGCAACAGTAACCAAGCCCATCTCCCCACACCTCCCTTGTGAAAAGTCATAGATATGTGAAAGTGAATGGTAACACTGCAAGGAGCAACCCAAATATTCCACCATCATTATTCCTCCCCCTTTGTCCTGCTATTCTGGAGGCCCACACTCTCCCTAAAATTCACCCATTGTTTAAAGCCAGGAAGCAAGAAATAGCCTCTGAGGTCCCTTTCATTTTTTTTTTTATCCCCCCTGGGGTGAAAGAATTAAAAAGGAACCAGAGGTATGCAGGAGTGAACCTCAGTGGGTGTGGTACACCACCAACACACTGTCTCCCAGGAGACACCTTCCCTGTGGCAACCTGGAGTTGGGGGGGGGGGCAAAACAGAGGAGAAATGCCAGCAGGTGTCAAGAACACTGACATCTTTACGCAGGCTGTCTGGACCTAAGACAGAGACAGTGCCATCACCAGGACTATCAGGCTAGCCCTCTTCTTTCCTAACCTCTCTGGTCCCTCCTTCCTCCCTATATTGACCCCATGGAGCCTGCCATACTGCAAATTACCTCCCTGTAAGTGAGCCGGGGTTCAATCACTCAGCAGAGATGAGGAGAGACGCAGGTAGTACTGGGTTCAAGCACACATGGAAAAAGACAACGTGCTAGCACCAAGGAGAGGCACAATTCCGTTGTAAGGTCCCATTGCTAACTCACCAAGGCGTTCCTCAGCCCTGGAAAGCCCTGCGGCTCAGGTCGGGTACACCTTCTCCAAAACACTTGGGCCCGGAAGTGTTACAGACTTTTTTCAGACTTGGGAATAGTTGCGTATACAGAAAGAGAGATCCACATGTGAAATTCACTTATGTTTCAGACACACCTTATACCCCCAGCCTGCAGGAAGTTTTAGATGAAGTTTGTAGCACATCTGTGTTTTGACTGCAACCATCACATGAGGTGAGGTGTGAAATTTTCCACATGTGGTGTCATCTTAGCTGGCCAAGAGTTTTCAATTTGAGAAGCATCTTGGGTTTCACGTTTCTGGATGAAGGATGCTCCGGTGTCGTGGTTAACCTAGTCTTGTTCTACGGCAGACTGCAGCTGGGGTTCTTCTGATACACAGCAGAAGTCTGGGCCAAGTCTTGCTCTCACAATGCTCCTGCTTTCTCATCAATGAATGGGGGGATAACCACCCACCTCGAGTGGTGGGAGGAGGCCACGAAGACGAAGGGCATGGCGAGATGTCAGCGCACTCCCTGGCGTGTAGAAGGCACACAGGCAATGCTCAGGGGTGCCCACCATCTCGTCTTTCAGAGACTCCCCAATATGCTCCCTAGAGAAGCCTCAAGCTGAAGTAGAGGCTGAGATCCTGGGAGGCCTGCATGGGAGCAGCCCAACTTTACAGCATGCAAAGGAGGATGCAAGAGAAAAGAAAGAGAGGAGCCAGACAGGTAAAGGCCTTGCACAGGGAGGAGCGTCCCCTTCGGGGAGCCCTCCAGATTTTCCATAAAGGCAGTAAACTCACGATATCTGCAGGGGTCCAGCAGCCTTCTTGTGAGAATTGCCACAGTGACTTCTGGGGGAGGGGGGGGAGCCCTCACAACCCCTGCGGGATAAACCAAGTCAAGGTGGTCTGCTGAGCGTTTCAGGACAGGCACTGACACCCAGCCGGAACGTGCCTTATCTCACTCCTGAGATGTTTGTCTTCCTTGAGAAAAGTCCAGGTACATTCCGGCTGGCCACAGGCCACCTTGTCTGGCTTAATATACATGAACCCCTTTGCTCCTGCCTTGAGACACGGGGACCCTCTCATCTTGCAGCCATCCAGGACACACTTCCGTCTGAAAATCTCTCATTACTGTGTAATCTTGGATTTGTCTGCCTTTTCCTTTGGTTTCTCTGCACCTTCCGCCTTTGGCAACCAGTTCTCAATTCTGCATTTCTCCCAAATCCTATCTGTGGGTCAAGAGGGGACAGCTAAGGCATGGAACTTTGCACCCATGTTATTGGGTGTTGGAACTCAAAGTGGACACAGAGACACAGGCACAAAGGACAAAGCTCCAGGGACTCTCAGATGTCAGGAGAAGGTCTTTGGATCCTCTCAGGCCATGGAAGAGGAGTTTGGGTCAAGTGCAACTGGATCTCAAAGCAGCAGGCATGCTTCACCTAACAGCATAATGTTTGCACCCTGACTGTCATCACTAGCTAATGTTGTCTGTCTCCTGTGGAGTGCAGAAAACTGGTTTTAGGCGATGAAACCTGGAGCCCAGGAAAGAAACACCCAACCAGAGCCACAGTCCTGAAGAATTCACTTCACTTTAATGTAGGAAGCTATGTCTACATTTGCTACTTCCCGGCCAGCAAGCGTCCGTAGGGCACCCTTTGCCTTTTCCTGTGAGCGAGCCATTTTTCAGTCCGACAGCACTAGTTTCTCTGAGTCCGGAAGTCCCTCCATCTTCCACTTAGGCTGCTCCCTCTTCTGAGGCCACTCATCTCCACTACACCGCGCCCTCAGTTATGAATTACTTACCTGCTGGCCATCATTTTCATGTAAATGGATTTTAAAAAGCAGCAAAGGAATATATTTTCATTTGGAGTTAAAGCACCCATTTTTTATTTGAGTTGAGCCTGATCTAGGAGAAACTGCAGAAGAATGGCTCGAAGGCTAATCTGGTTAATGATTATGATGGAGATCCCGAGAGCCGCCAATATTTCACTCGCAGCCACCTCTATCCTGGCTCCGCTGCCTGCAATCCTTTTTTTTCTCCACAGCCACTTCCATTAACACCCACCACGTATGATGGAACCATTATGATAATATCTCTGCTCTCAGCTGCCTCGACTGGTCTTGACACATTATCACCCTACGAGCTCAGCCACGTTGCACTGATTCCTATTTATAATAACCCTTGGCAGGAGCCACCAAAATAAAGCCTGCTGCTGATGGGCCACCTTTCATCCGAGGAAATCAGAAAGCTTTCCAAGCTTAATTAAGCCCCGGCATCATCCTGACTGATGACGTGCAAGGCCTGGGGGAGCCGAGAAGGCGCAGAATCACTAATTGTACACTGGATAAAGCTCTGGGCGGCGAAGAACAACAAAATCAACAAAGCAGCAAGAGTCACTGCCTTTAGCGGGAAGTGTTTGTTGAGTGAATTTTTTCACAGAGGGTTGAGACAATTTTAGGTTACTGCAGAAGGGGCTGTGGTGAGTCTGAATGGGTGACTCTCGGTTTAGGGAATGGACTTGAGATTTGTTTCTATTATCCAAAGAACCCACGCTCAACACCCCCAGTGCTTCTGGGATCACCCACACAAGGGCGCAGACACTGAGCTCTGGGAAGATGCAGCAATCTGCCTGTGGGCACAGGGTTGCTGGGCTCACATGCTGTTCCCTCCCCCTGCCCAAGCATCCTCCCTGCTCCAACGCGCCTCTGCAAACCCCAACTTGCCCTTCACAGTTCTTTACATCCGCTGCCCTACAGAAGCCTTCCTGCCACCTCCTCTGTGCTCCCCTGTGCTCTCCATTTCCATAATAGCTCTAGGCACTGATATTCACTGCTCACTTACTACATGTTTAAGGTACATCTCGTCCACACGATGAGGCAGGTGCAAGTACCATCTCAATTTTACGGGTGAGTTAACATCCCCAGAGAGATTAAGTAACTTCTCCAAGAAGGCACAACTTAGCCCTGCTGCAAAGCACATGTTCCAAAAGGCTAAATCCCAGGGGCCCTAATGCACAGGAGAAATCTGTCGATGTGTCTGCCTCCATCTCTGTTGTAAAGGGATATTACCAATTAGGAACGTTTTGGATGCCAACAACAGAAACCCCAACCCAGAGCTGTTAAACCACCAAGGAAATCCAGAGGAAGGACAGCTCCATGTTGACTCACTTGGGGGCTCGGCAACATCAGCGAGGACCTTGGTTCCCTCCATCTTTCTGCTCTACCTGCCTTCCTGTAGGGACATAGTTCCCCTGGCCGTTCCTCAGTGACTTTCCCAGTCCAAGGCTTCCCCTCCAGATCGGAACCATGCAGAAGAAGGGCCACATCTTCCTTGTGTCTCTACAATAGGATGGGAACCTTTTCCAGAAACCTCCCCCTGGACTCACTATCAGGTCTCACTGGCCAGACAGACATCCAATGGATGCCAATGGATACACACATACATCCCACATGCCTACACAAGGGGCCTCAAAGACCCAAGGCCTGTTTAGTCCAGTCAGGATTTGGCCTCCCTCAAGCATCAGGCACACAGGAGGAAACTGGAGAGCAGGCGAGAAGTGGGAAGTGAGGGTGGAGGAGGAAGCAACCAGGGCCTGAACCAGGAGTTAAGGGCCAGGGGAAATCTGATGCCCCATCACCTGCTGCCCAGCCCTTTGGCCTTTAGCAGGTGCAGGACAAATGTCACTTGAACTAAATTAGACTAGACAAAAATTCTAGGCTCTAACATCAGTGGATACAGAAACCTTTTTCCAAAGCAGGTCTAAAAGACAGCTACAAGGAATAAAGAAAATCATAGGGCCAGCGCTGTGGTGTAGTGGGTTAACGCCCTGGCCTGAAGCAGCAGCATCCCATATGGGCGCTGGTTCTAATCCTGGCTGTTCCTCTTCCCATCCAGCTCTCTGCTATGGCCTGGGAAAGCAGTGGAAGATGGCTCAAGTCCTTGGGCCCCTGCACTCATGTGGGAGACCCAGAAGAAGCTCCTGGCTCCTGGATTCGGATTGGCACAGCTCTGGCCATTGCGGCCAATTGGGGAGTGAACTAGCAGATGGAAGACCTCTCTCTCTCTCTCTCTCTGCCTCTCTTTCTCACTGTGTAACTCTGACTTTCAAATAAAATAAATAAATCTTTAAAAAAGAGAGAAAGCATCATAAAAATGTTAGTTTCACCATAATTTCAAGGGTTCCTGTCAACCCTGACTTGCTTTCCAGAAACATAATGTGTTCCTAAACGCCAGGCTTGTTTTAACAGACAGGCTAATCACACTCAGAGATTATTATGTTTCCTGATCTCCTGTGAGCTATCCAGGAGAATTCACCTGGAACCAGGAAGACATACACCAATACCTGCCCCGGGCATCCAGGTATATGAGGATGAGATCAATTAAACAATTTTTGGAAGATTCAGATCATGGTCAAACAGAGAAGCCAAGTAATAGCAGAAAAATAACACAGCCTACAGGGAGAGAATGTGGGCAGGAGACTGTGTCTTAGTTGGCACTGTTAACAGCAAACATCTCTTTCCTACAGTGCTGGAATGCTGGGAAGTCCAAACTGCAGACCCCAGGAGATTGGATGTCGGGTGAGAACATGATTCCAAGGTCACGGTCGCGGATAGCAGTGTTCTCGCTATGTCTTCACACGGCGGGAAGAGGGCTGGAGCGCTCTCGGGGGCCTCTTTCATTAAAGCAGTGATTCCATTCCTGAGGGCTCCACCCACGTGACCTTATTACCTCCGCCAACCCCACTTCTCATCCCATCACCCTGGGCACTCCAGCTCCAACATGTGAATTTTGGGGTGTGGGGGTTACAAGCATTCAGTCCACAACCAAGAGACAAATAATGAAACTGTATCACAGAGAGTTAAAAAGCTGCTCAAGGTCAAGCAAACAGAAATGGCCAACTTGGGAGTCATACATACCCAGTGTCAAAGAATGTCATACACCTCTCTGACATCGCCTTTCTCTCTCTTCCTCTTTGCAGAAGCATCTAGCAGGGCGCGTTGGAGGGTTCTTTGGGACGGACCTCGAACTCAGAAGACCCAGGAAACGTCGGGACAGAGGGCAGCAAGGCAGTGAGAAGAAGCCAGAAGCTGGCTGCTGGCTGCCGGCTCCCAGCTTTTAACAAGAGCAGCACTGGTGAGCTGGCCCAGCTCCCTGGGAAGGAAACACAAAACAAACGGTCAGAGAAGACACCCATCTGGGGCCTCAAAGGTGCGCTAGGCTGGAACGCAACCTCTACTCCCTGGATTCCATCTCTCAAGACCCAAGCCAGGTCTGGAGCAAGACAGCAACAAGAGGAGGAAGAGGTCCCTATCTGGGCGATGGCCCAGCAAAGCAGGGAGGAAAAGGGAAAACACTAGGTGCAGGAACAGTGAACGCTCAGATGGTCTTTTCAACACTTTAGATACCAGGACCAATCTACTGCAAGATTTGTTACTATCAACTGATTACTAGTAGTCACGAGATACTAGAGGTGTCCCTAGTACTAATACTTTTGTGACTGCATTTTGCAAGTGAGCCAACTGAGGATCGGAGAGGATAAGTAACTCACTCAAGTTCCCATTCCTGGAAAGTAGCAAGGCTGGGTGTTAAACCCAGACCATCAGCTTAAGAGTTCATGTTCTCAATCACTGCACTTAGTCATAGCAGCCCCAAAGAACATTCCTAAGGAAATTTAACATGAGTTGAATCTACTTTGATGTAATACAATAAGGACTATACTTAGCATTTCCCCGATAATTGATAATTTACACAGGGTTTTACTTCTGTCATTATGAAACCACAGCCCTACTTGCTATTTGACTTCAGCTTAGTCACTAGCTAAGCCTCAGTTTTCCCATCTGTGAAGTGGGATAATAATAAAACTTGTCGGGAGGATTCAGTGGGATAAAACCTTTGCAAGGCTTAGCCTGTTCCCAAGTCCATAATAAACCCTCAGGTAAGTGTTGGTGGCCACTGTTGCTGTGACTGCTTTTAATACTTCCCTCAAGCTGCATGACAACCTGGGAGGGAGGATTTATTATCCTCATTTCTCAGGTTCAGAAAAGGAAACTCACCAAAGGTAGACATTAGCCACGGAGCAGGTCAGAAAACAGAAACACTGGACATGGAAAATCTGGGGCCCGTGGAAGGCGCACTGGGTATCCTCCCCTGCTCCCAACCCTCAACTCCACCTCCTCTCATTTCCCAGGAGGTGCTGGGAACATGAACATGAACATGAACCAGAACCAGACCAGGTCAAGGAAAGTTTGAAGATATTGCAAGTTCTGGCTCAGGGAGAAACTGAAAAGTATGAAGAAAGACGTAAAGGTGCAAATAGGTTCCCATCTAGGGGCAAGTGAGCAACACCTCCTCCATTAGCAAGTGCCAGAGGGCAGGAGGAACCAAGGTCACCTATTTCCATCAGCTGGAGCCCAGTGAGCCACACTGGCTTGGCCACAGCAGGTGCGGGGATGTCATGAGGCAGGAAGTAGAGAATAGTCTAAACACTGTCTACAACGATCAAACACCATTTGAAAGCTGCATTCCACTTTGCAGGTGTGTGCGCATGTGTTTATCCCTTCAGCTGTCTGTACTTCTGCACTCTGATGAACTTGTTACGGTTTCTATCAGCGCACCCTGCTCAGGCACACACTGTGTTCCATCGTGTGGCCCCAGGCAAAGACAGGGAGATTCAATGATGAAGTCAGCCCATCTTGTGAAGTATAAGAGCTTCGCCAACTTTTGTCAGGAATAGGATTGGGAGATCCAGGGACTCAGGGTGTCTAGCTTTACAGCTGTTCTCTTTTTCAAGATTCATTTATTTGAAAGTCAGTTACAGTGAGAGAGGAAGAAACATACAGAGAGAGGAGAGAGATAGTCCATCACTGGTTCACTCTCCAAATGGCTGAAACAACCAGGGCTGGGTTAGGCAGAAGCCAGGAGCTAGGAGCTTCCTCCAGGTCTTCCTCATGGGTGAAGGGGCCCAAGGACTTGCATCATCCTCTGCTGTTTTCCCAGGCACATTAGCAGGGAACTGGACTGGAAGTGGAGCAGCCAGGACTTGAACTGGCACCCATATGGGATGCCGGTACTACAGACAACAGCTTAACCTACTGCACCACCATGCCAGCCCTTGCAGCTGTTTTTGTCAGACTGAAAATCATGGACTTCTTTGCACATTCATTTTGCAAAGCCCTCACAAACAGCATTTCCTTTTTAGATAAACGAAGAGTTCTTGCTTTGTGTCTTCTATTATATTATTTAAAAAAAAAAAAACCTTATTGCACGCTACTTGGAGAGTTTCTTCTTATTAGCATTCCACAATCAACTCAGCAAACTGTTACTGGACACTCTCTGGGTGCCAGGCTCAGGGCCCAGGCCCTCACAGAACAATGGACAAGACAGATTCCCCACGCAGCTTACAGCCAAGGAACCCTGGCCATTACTGATAGCTTTGGTTAGCCAAAAAGACAGCGCCACCAACCATCTGGGATCCCCCCACCCCCAGTCACTAGGGTATGGCTTGGTCCATCGTAGCCATTTCATATTCTTGGACTTTAACTTAATTCACGGTGCAGTTAAAAATATATGCGTTTTACTCTTAATTAGATGATATTCTACTTATGTCCACAAGGTGGAGATCTTGCTTAAACCAAGCTGCAAGCTCGGCTTTTAAAAAAATTCCTGGGTAGAAGTTAACCAAAAGACAAAAAATTAAATTCAATTTATTGAGTGCTTATTTAATGCAATGAACTATGTTAGGTGGTAAAAGAAATAAAAAGTCAGTAAGACATAGCCCCTGCCTTCTAGGGAGAGACAGGGGAGGGAGCTTGCGCAAGGCAGAAACAGAATGCCTTTTAATGAATTAATACATTTCCATCTATCCATATGGGACTCATAGTAATCTCAGCACAGACAAGGGCTATAAAAAGCCATGATTCAGCCACCAGTGCAGTTGCGAATAAATTCAAAAAAGACCCCCACGCTTCGGCCCATATGTACTTCCACACTAGGGACAATACAGGATGGTTACACCGGGTCAGCACTTGCAGACCCCAAATGCGGTTTTCTGATGCCTCTGCTCAGCCACAAACATTGGAGTGTCTGTACTATAACCCTAGAACATTCTTTCTAAAGAGAATCAGGGCCAGCTACTGAGGTAGTACCATTGAAACGCCCCTGCGCACCTGATGGAGAGAATACAAAGAAGAAAAGGAGCAAGGGGAAGGAAACAGATTTCAAACTCTGGCTTTCAAACAGGCAGATTCCACCTACCTTCCCAACCTGTGTCTCATTTGGGAGCAGCCAGGTTTGGATCTGGGACACACCGGGGCAGAAAGGGAAAGAACAGATTAAATTCCAAGAGGTGCATTCCTGGAGGACTGAACCCAGGGGCGGCTGGAAGATATGTTGGTGTTTTTGTTTGCACCTCAAACCCCCATCTCACCCCCACTTCTGTTTTCCTTAAACCAGTACATCAAATGCAACATAGGGCTATTTTGGTTTCATTGAAAATCACATTTGGGGAATACAGGACTGACAAGCGACAGAGTGGAAAACCTAAGCATCCTGATTTGATTAAATCATGTTAAGTCTCTCAAGTGCCTTGCAGCCAGGACCCCTGAACGTGACTTTGAGCCTCTGCACTTGCTAACCGTGGGGTCTGGAGCAAGCCTGCCTTCTCAGTGCCTCGGTTTCCTCGAGAGCACAACAGTATCATTTCTATTGGGAAGTCGTCCCTGGCACCTCTGCGCCAGCACGAGGCTGGGTCCCAGGTTATAACGGTGCGCCCTGGGAACGGATCTGGGGGTTTATACACCGTTTGTGCCCAGAGCTCCGGGCAGTGGCTTTGTTGAGGGATCCACCCATCACTGGGAGCCAGCCCAGGTGTTCCACGTGCCCAGCGCGATTTCAAGCCCTGTTGAGTCCCTTGGGAGAGGTGCAACCTCAAAGCTCGCAGTGACCAGGGGCGGGGAGCACGCTCGAGAAAGGGGGGTGCTGGTGCAAAGTTGTGAGCCACTAAGGGTGCCTCTTCCCGCCTGCAGCCCCATCCTCGGTGGCTCGGAGAGATTACCGGGGGCTGACACAAGGCAACGTGAGCCTCACTGTCGCAAACGGAGAAAGCATAGGGACCCGCCCTGACTCTTGCGCCCGGAGTGCGGGGAGGTGAGTGGGGGGTCCGGCGGAACTTCGCGGGAGACCGGACGCTGCCCGGGCCAGCACCCGGCGAGCACCCCACGCAGCGAGGGCCAGGCCCGCCGCGGACGCCGAGCCTGCACCGTCCCCTTCGGAGCCCCAGCGCGGGCGCAGCCGGCTGTGCTTCCTCCTACCCCTAAGCCTCCGACCGAGCCTAGGGCCGTCTCTCCGGCTTGCACGGCGCCATCGCCGCTTTAAGGGGAAGAGGACGGGAAGGGGGCGGGGGAGCGGGGGGCGGGGAGTGGCGGCGGAGGAGGGGGAGGGGGATCCCCCTCGCTCCCACGTGGTGCGGGCGCCTGTGAATCGCGCCCGCCGGAGGGTCTCACAGCGAAATACAAAAGCAGCTGGGAAGCGGCGGCGAGGCGAGTTCCCAGCGCCGCACAGAGCCCCGCAGCGCCCGGCGGCCGCCATGGGGCTGAGGCGCCCGAAGCCCCGGAGCCAACGAGCGGCCCGGCCCACCTCGCCGCCGGGACCTGGGCGCCCCGGCTCGGCTTGAAGCGGCGGCGGCGGCGGCGGCGGTGGCGGTGGCGGCGGCACCGGCGCGGCCACAGGAGCATGGGCAGGAGGATGCGGGGTGCCGCCGCCACCGCGGGGCTCTGGCTGCTGGCGCTGGGCTCGCTGCTGGCGCTATGGGGCGGGCTCCTGCCGCCGCGGACAGAGCCGCCCGCCTCGGGGCCGCCCGAAGACCGACTCCCGCGCCTCGCAGCCCGGATCGGCGGCCCGGCACCCGCGCCTCGCTTCCCTCTGCCCCCGCCTCTGGCCTGGGACGCCCGCGGCGGCTCCTTGAAAACTTTCCGGGCGCTGCTCACCCTGGCTGCCGGCGCTGACGGCCCGCCCCGGCGGCCCCCGGGCGAGCGCAAGCGGCACGTGCCAGCCGGGCGGTCCCGGCCGGAGGAGGAGAGCGCCGCCGTGCACGGGGGCGTCTTCTGGAGCCGGGGCCTGGAGGAGCAGGTGCCCCGGGGCTTCTCCGAGGCCCAGGCGGCGGCGTGGCTGGAGGCGGCGCGCAGCGCCCGGGTGGTGGCCCTGGAGCGCGGGGGCTGCGGGCGCAGCTCCAACCGACTGGCTCGCTTCGCCGACGGCACCCGCGCCTGCGTGCGCTACGGCATCAACCCCGAGCAGATCCAGGGCGAGGCCCTGTCCTACTACCTGGCGCGCCTGCTGGGCCTCCAGCGCCACGTGCCGCCGCTGGCGCTGGCTCGGGTGGAGGCGCGGGGCGCACAGTGGGCGCAGGTGCACGAGGAGCTGCGCGCGGCTCACTGGACCGAGGGCAGCGTCGTGAGCCTGACGCGCTGGCTGCCCAACCTCACGGACGTGGTGGTGCCCGCGCCCTGGCGCTCGGAGGACGGCCGTCTGCGGCCCCTACGCGGCGCTGGGGGCGAGCTGGCCAACCTCAGCCAGGCGGAGCTGGTGGACCTGGTGCAATGGACAGACTTGATCCTCTTCGACTACCTGACGGCCAACTTCGACAGGCTCGTAAGCAACCTCTTCAGCTTGCAGTGGGACCCGCGCGTCATGCAGCGCGCCACGAGCAACCTGCACCGGGGCCCCGGCGGGGCGCTGGTCTTTCTGGACAACGAGGCGGGCTTGGTGCACGGCTACCGGGTGGCGGGCATGTGGGACAAGTATAACGAGCCGCTGTTGCAGTCCGTGTGCGTGTTCCGCGAGCGGACCGCGCGGCGGGTGCTGGAGCTGCACCGCGGGCAGGACGCGGCGGCCAGGCTGCTGCGCCTCTACCGGCACCACGAGCCTCGCTTCCCCGAGCTGGCCGCGCTCGCCGACCCCCACGCTCAGCTGCTGCAGCGCCGCCTCGACTTCCTCGCCAAGCACATTTTGCACTGTAAGGCCAAGTACGGCCGGCGGCCGGGCACTTAGCGTCACCCGGAGGAGCCGGGAGAGCCGGCACTGGGCTGTGGCTGGTGGGGGAAGGGCCGTCGCCTCGGCCACCGCCTGGGGATCCGCCGGCCAACGCCCAGCCGGTGGCCCGCCGCGAAGGTGTCTCAAACTTCTGCTTCACCCACCTGCCTTTCTTTGCAAGCCCACGCTGTTTGCTTTCAAAGTTCTGGACGGGCGAACGCACCGAGGCGGGATGAGCCACGTTCCCTCCACCCAGTTGATAAAAGGATTCTTTCTAAAGCCAGCGCGAGACCCGATCCGAAGAAACTGGCTGCTGAGGTCTGCCCCAGGGGGGCCGTCTCTGTGGGAGATGCACCCCATTCTTGCCCCCCACCCACCACCCGGCCGCTTCCCACCCCACCCCCCGACCCCGGTCCATTTCCGAAAAAGGAAAACTTCCGTTTGAGCCCTTGAGCTAATTCTGCAATTTCCTACGGAACGCGGCGCTGGTGGCCCCCGAGCCCGGCTGTGACATTGGTGGTGGAGCCCCCTTCTGAGCTCTCCCTTTGTTCCAGCGCCGCGGTGGTGAGATCACTGTTGAGAGCGGGGAACGGCTCCGATAGGACAAAGGGAGCAGGACCTTCAACCGCTGGGACCCGCAGACCCTGTCAATTTGTCTGACTCATTCCTGACCTCCTGTCATTTTAGCCTGAAGCCTCCGATTTCAGGACTGACCGTATGCACTGAATCAAATAATGGATTTCTTCCTCCCCCTCCCAGCCGACCAAAATTTTGACAATGATGATGTTCACACGGAAAAAAAATCAGTTTCATGCACTTTACTTTGTTTTTATTTTAATTTTTTATTAAGAAAAACTTTTTTATTTGACAAAATTTGCCTTCTGTATATATATGTGCATAAAGTGTGGTGTAAATATACTAAACAGACTTATATTTCAATAAAAGGGAGTTTAAAATTTAGAAGTTTAATTTTTGTGACTTTAACTCTTTGGAGTATCTGATACTTTGAGAGTATGTTTTAGGCTTTCTCCCTAGCTGGTGTGCTTTTAAAACAAAGGATGCTTATCCCCGCCCCTTGTGACTACAGAACTTGCAGAATTGAATGGTCAAGAGCAGGCCGGCTGTCTCCTGTGCTGGAAATTTGAGTTCAGCCTAGAATGTAGACTAAGGAGGTGGAGAAAAGCCTGGGAGAAAAGTGTTCTATTTCCTGGCAAATAAAACTGATAGGAAGAGATTTCATTGCAGTATATTCCTATATTAATCATTTGACAAATACGATAGAACCAGATGTGCAGACTAAAATAGAACAAATGCCTCCTTTGAAAGTTGACTGTTGTGGTCACATGCTGTACATTATTTGCAGCATTATAATCACCAAGCGTCACAGTGTGTAGCATTAATAAGCTGAGCACATATTGCAAACAGGTAGAGAAAGCCATACATTAATTCATCTCTTTAATCTGGCATAGACTCCGTTGCATTCAGGAGATCATCATCTCCAACATCTGGACTCATGCAAAGTTCTTAAAGAAGCGGCGCTGTTGTCCAAGGTCCAACTGCCTGATGCCCTAAGAGCAGGAGGCATTGTGAGACCAGGAAGGTGCACAGTTCTTCTGTGTGACATTTGGACTCTTCACTGTCAGAAGACTTAGAACTTTAAAAATGGCTTCGGGGTCTTTGGCCCATGGCCCATGACAGGGGACAAGATTTGCTTTTGTTTATTTTAAAGCCCCTTGGTGTTGCATTTGGGCATTTGTTATCTGGGCCCAGGGATCTTGCCTGTTCATGGTGTTTCCTGACTTCTAACTCAAAGCTACTTGGGGTTACAATTTTGGTTTTTTTGTTTTTTGGTTTTTTGGTGTTTTTTTGTAATTTGACTTGCATTTGTAAACCTAGGGTTTTATAGACTCACAAAGCTATTAAATCTCTGTGGGTTCTTTGTCTCACTGTGAATTGCAAGGTAGTGTGTAATTTAACTATTTAATGTCATCCGTATGTTTTTCCTGCCTTAGGCTAAGCCAAATCTTAACTAGGAAAAACAAAAACAGTCCATAAACTATTTGTGGTGAAAGTCAATTTTTTTTTGCAGTACAACCCCAGAATGTACTGATAATAGCAACTATATGCTTTTTCAAGACCTCTGGTAATTACACCTTTCAAAAATAGCGTTTTCCCTTTCTGATAGTTAATAATAATGAGATTTGCTGCTGACATTAATGGTGGCCACTTCAAGAACAGGATATAGATTCTACATCTTGCATGTTCCTTGAGGAAAACAATGAGCAGAAGGAAGCTGGAAGTTTCCCGTTTGCACAGGAAATGCTCCCTGCCTCCCGTCTGACTCCAGCACTGGTGAGTTCTGGGCCGGCAGCATTCTCAACATTCCTCCTGAACTTCGGTTCTAAGCCCAGACGTGAACAGAGTTAACCCAGAGCAAGGCACTGAGCTTAATTTAAATGACTTTTCTCAGATTCTTTAGTGAACCATATCTGCCTGTTTGAGGGAAGAAGAAAGAAAAAAGTTTAATTACATGGTGGAGTTGTTAAGGGAACCGAGAATTAATTACAGAGACCTTGCTTTAACTGTTGCTATTCCTCGTGGCTAACCGGTAGGCTGTGGAATGGAAAGATCAATGAAAGTCTTGCCATGGTCAGTAAATGCTGCTAGGGACACATCACTTTTCAAATGAAAAAAAAAAAGTTTCAGGCATGATTTGCAGAAAGTAATGAGTTCTGCAGGCAAACTGTCTTCTGAATTCTGCCCCTCACCTATTTACCTTCAGCAAGTCCTTGAATTTAGTTCCCTCATCTGTGAAATGGAGATTCGATCAGAGTATTGTGGGATTTAAATGTTAACATATAAAACATACAGGCACATAATAGGTACTTCCAAAAAAAATCTCATTTCTTATTCCTCTTTTAAAGAGGAAAAAAGCCTTTGCATTTCTTATACTTCAGTAGAATTCTACTAATTTTGATCATCGAAACCATAGCTAGGGAGAGGTGTTTGAGCTAGGAGTTGAGGCACCAGTTGAAACGAGTGGATGTCTGCATCTCCTACCAGAATGCCTGGATTCAAGTCCTGGCTCCACTGGCCTGATTCCAGCTTGCTACCAATGCAGACCCTGAGAGGCAGTGGTGAGGGCTCCAGTGACTGAGTGCCCACCACCCACACGGGCAACATGGATGGAGTCCCTGGCTACTGGTTTTGGCCTAGGCATCATGGGTGTTTATAAAGTGAGTCAGCAGATGAGCACTATGTCTATCTCTCTCCCTCTCTATCTCTCGAATAAACCAGCATTAAAAGAAAAAAAAAATCCCCAAATCTAGCTGTTTCCAAGACCAGGATCGTTTTTTTATTTGCTAATCAATTAATTCAAGAAATTGTTTCTTAAGCACCTGCTAGCACTATGCAAGGCACTGGTTCATAAAGCCAAGGTCACAGCTTAATCTCCACGTGGATTTGAGTGAGTGGTTTCAAGACCAAAGCAGACCCTGTGCTCCAAAGCAGCTATACTACAAATATATGAGGGCAATTTAAAAAAAAAAAAAAAAGAACAGAAAAAAGTAGATGGCTCATTGCAAATCTATCACCACTTCTGGAAAGCATCAAAAAGTGATGAATCTTTGCGGGAGCGATCCTCTTCCCAATGCCTTCTGCCAAGAGAAAGTAGGCAGTTGACCTTTTCTCCCTGGATTCCACTGTTGATTAATTCACTCTGTCAATGACATAGTTCTAAACTCTATTAAGCATACTCACCCTCCTGTCTTTGAATCAGGAAGAAAAACACATTATTTTAACACATCTCAACATTTCTCATCCTTCTGCCTGCAACTGCGGCTAGGAGAGTCCTCTAAGGCCCAGAAGTTGATTATGTGGATTAAATGAGTAAATATTTACAATGCTCTCTGAGTAGTGCCTGGCACATAGTAAATACAATACATGTGTTTATTTATTGGTAGAGTAGATCATTTTTCTATGTCAAAACCAGAGGCACCAGGAGTCTTTCATAATCCTGCTCTATCTCTGCCATCATAGAACACATTCTACATGCTTCTGGTTTGGCTCAGGGAAACCAACTAGAGTGCATGAGCCTGGCAGAATTACCTTGGAGCTCACAGGTATCAGCTGGCTTGTCTCATTTCTGAGACTGCCCTCTATGTCAGTTGTCATATATACCTCTCTCTCTTTCACCAGGAGGCTGTAATTCTATTTCTCATGTGGCCCATCAGCTCCAGGGAGCAATGAGCTGCAGAATTTTGCACCTGCTGAGTGACCGTGAGCAATCCATAGTCATGGATCATCCAAGCCTGGGCACTGGTTATTTGCCCTCCATGCACCTGTCCCTTTCCCACGTGGTAGGAGGGTGATAGGAATGCTGGAGAAGGAAGAGAGAAGCAAGCTCAGGGAATGTTCCAGAAGGGACTAGAATGCCAGCTCCCTTGGCATGACAGCACAGGGATTGACAGCCACCCTTCAGGACATTCTGATCATTGGCACCCAGCAGAAAGGACCGTGGGAATCAGGAGCTCCAGGCTTCTTCTGACTCACAAAAAGACACAAACTTTACATTGCTACCCGGACCACACACACACACGTCATACAACAGAAGCAGAATTTTACAAAACACTATGTATAACATATTTTTTCTCTTTTATTCAATTGTATTCTGTTCCACCGCCTCCTCTGCTTCCTATTGCTTTTGTGACCCCCTGAATTGATTTCATAACTCCTCAGTGGAGCACAGCCTGTACTATGCAAAACTCTAGATCAGGTGTTCGGTAAGCTCCCTTCCAGCTCTAAGATTCTAGGGAAAGTCCTTTTTAACCAGTTTACCACCTACTACATTTTTTTCCCAAGGGGAATACAGGATCCAATTGTGTGTACCTTTTACAAACAAAATATTGAAGTGCACTGTTTCAAAAGGTAACTGGGAGAACCACTCAGAATTTTACATGAGGTCTTTTTAAAAAATACTTACAAAAAAATCCTTAAATGTGGGAAGTAATTTTCAGCGTGTCTCAACCCTGTGTAAGCAAATAATATTTTGTAATAAAGCAAAATCCTTTGCATCTCTGCCTTAGTCGTGCCCAAGGATGACTCCAGAGGACAGTTCCTTTCCTGTGTATTCATAAAGATCAGATGTAAGAGTCATAATTTTTTAATGTGACTGTTTTACCAGCTTCTTTTTCTGTGTCCTGCTGTGGGGGAAGCTGCATTAATAAACTATGTCTCAATACTGCCTCGCTGGAATTTTTTTCTCCGCAGGACTCCACCAAATATAGCAAAGGAATGCTCATTTTATTTATCTTTTCAACTTTATTTCCACTTTGAATATATCTTTGTGGCACTTTTGAAATTTTTTGTTCAACGGCATGTTAACGTTTTTAGGAGAATGGAGAACTGATTGTCCACTGAATAACAAGAAAAAAAGAACTCTTTCCCTCTTTCTTACATGCCATATGGTGCCTTTTATGGTTTTAACAATTACTGTACACCATATCTAGAAAAACTGGTACTTTATAGAGCTGGCATTTCTCCAGTACCAACGAACAGAGTTTTACTTTGCTGAGAAATTGCGAGTTAATAATAGAGAAGTGTCACCTTTAATTCAATGGGCCTTTGTCATTCGTTTGTTTCTGTTTCCACCTTCCTTGCAATGACTCTTTTTTAATGTTCATTAAAGATTTTGCCCCCATCCCACAAAGATCCTGGAGAGTAAGGCAGGTAGAGCATGACACAATCAGGATCATTGTTTTTTTTGAGTTGTGTTAAAATATATGTAACATCCACATTACTCTTTTATTCATATTTACGTGTACAATTCAGTGGCATTAAGTATAACAACCTTGTGCAACCACACCATGGTTTCCAAAACTTCTTCATCACCCCTTTAAAAGCTCTTGTAACCATTAAGTAATAACCTCTCTGAGAGCAGGGTTGTGGCCCAGTGGATTAAGCCACGGCCTGTGACACCAGCAGCCCATAGGACTGCCAGATGGAGTCCGACTGTCCCACGTCAGATCCAGCTCCCTGCTAATGGCCTGAGAAAGCAGCCAAAGATGGTCCAAGTCCTTGGGCCCCTGCCGTTCAAGTAGGAGACTGTTCCTGGTTTTGGCCTGGCCCAGCCTCTGCCACTGTGGCCATTTGGGGAGTGAACCAGTGCATAGAAGATCCATCTGTCTGTCTCTCTCTCCCTCGCCCCGCCCTCCCATCTCTCCCTCATTCTGACTTTCAAATAAATAAACATATCTTTAAAAAAAAATCTTCATTTCCGCTACCTCCAGTAGTCTCTAATCTACTTTCTATCTCTATTGCCTACTCTACATAATTCATGCAAATGGCATCATGCAGTTTGTCCCTTTGTGTCTAACTTCTACTTTGACATTGGTCATGAAGGCAAATCCATTGGTGGTAACGCAATACTGTTTAGGAACCAGCAGACCTGCATTTGTGCTGAGTTCACCACTTAATAGCCCTGTTTAGACCAATTGACATACTTCTGTTTCCCTCATCTGGAAAAGCGATACAAAGGCTACAGACTCTCTAGAGAGCCTTTCAACTCTAGAAAGATGATGTGTGTTTATGTTCAGCCACTACACACATGATTTCCAGCCGTAGTTTCCAGTTTCCTTCCCCTGCTTGTAGCTTCCACAACTTTCTCGGTGCCTCCGAAGAAGTCACAAGCCATACTCTAAGCACTGTGCCCTTGAGGACTTGCCTTCATGGAGCTTAGAGTCTAGTGGGAAAGATGGGACATTATCTTGCAGGCTCGAACTGGGATAAATGCTGTCTGGGCTAGAGGACATTTCCACTGGATCCATCACACAGGTCTTTGTGAGCTCCTCTACAGGGATGGCTTACAAGCTGACCTTGTCATTATATTTGTACTTGAGGGGAAGTCTTGAAGAAAAAGAAGTATAAAAAAAGAGATTTTCACAGTAGTCCCCTGAACGACCTGAAGAGGTTCTGCTGAAAGGAGTCCGGGAAGCTTCTCTCGGAGGGCTGGGGAGAGCAGGGGTGTGACCTGAGCTTTTCCAGCAGGGCTCTTAGCTGCTTTCTGTGATACGACATACACTTCAATACAGATCTCTCTTGTATTTCACTAGTTTTCTCCTCAAGCTCTAAACTGCTGTTTAATTCATCACTAAAGTTTTGCTTTCCTTTTCTTGTCTCTTTAAATTCCATGATTCCATCATCCTGAGGAGGTACTTGGGAATGGTATGGTAGGAATTAATATCATGAGGAAATTGAGTCTACCAAAAATATAAAAACCTACTTGTGATGAACACATACTAATAAACAGCACCTTTTGTTAGGCATATTTTTCCTTTTTAAAAAAATATTTATTTTATTTATGCAAAAGGTAGAGTTACAGAGAAAGAGGGAGAGATGCAGAAAGGGTTCTTCCATCCGCTGGTTTACTCCCCAAATGGCTGCAACAGCTGGGGCTGGGCCAGGCTGAAGCCAGGAATCTAAAACTCCATCTGGGTCTCCCACATGGGTGGCAGGGGCCCAAATGCCTAGCATCTTCCACTGCTTTCCCAGGCACATCATCAGGGAGCTGGATCAGAAGTGGAGAAACCTGGACTCGAAACAGTGTCCCATAAGGGATGCCAGTATCACAGGGATACCACTGTGCCACCATGTTGGCCCCCGTCAAAACTCCTTTGATTAAAGCTCCCTGACTAAAACCTGGCACCAGTATTTCAGTTGGAAACTACTTCAAATTGTGATGCATTCCAGATTTCATCAGTTCTTTATACTCTTAGGCATTTTACAGAGTTATTATGAAGATTAGCAATCAGAGTTCAAAATTCACTATTTCTTTTACAGGTTTAAGAACCAAGGCTCAAAAGGGTTAAGTAAACTTCCCCTCAGGCTTGCAGAAGCAAGCCTGTGGCTTGAAGACACATCTATCTAGCACCAGCATAGGTTACGCTTTTCTCCCTTGTCATCCATTCTTTCTTTCTCTCTCTGTCTCATATGTCTTTTTTAATTGTCTTTTTTCCCCTCCACAATCTTCTCTGTGTCTTTGGTGTCCTGTAATTTCATTATGATGTCTTCAGACATGAGGGAGTCTCCAAAAAGTTCATGGAAAAATGAAAAAACTCTACATAGGTTTTAAAAAACTTTTTTGCAGCAAAAATAAATGTATATGGGCTGGCACTGCAGCTCACTAGGCTAATCCTCCACCTTGCGGCGCCTGCACACCAGGTTCTAGTCCCGGTTGGGGTGCCGGATTCTGTCCCGGTTGCTCCTCTTCCAGTCCAGCTCTCTGCTGTGGCCCGGGAGGGCAATGGAGGATGGCCCAGGTGCTTGGGCCCTGCACCCACATGGGAGACCAGGAGGAAGCACCTGGCTCCTGGCTTCGGATCTGCGCAGCGCGTCGGCCACAACGCTTTGGTCGTAGCGGCCACTTGTGGGGTGAACCAACGGAAAAAGGAAGACCTTTCTCTCTGTCTCTCTCTCTCTCACTGACTAACTCTGCCTGTCAATAAATAAATAAATAAATAAATGTATATTTGCATTCTATTTTTTCCCTCAAATCTTCCAAGACATCATATGGATTTATCTGTTGTTGGGTTTTTTTTTTTTTGGTAGGAAAATTATATCTCATAAATCTAAGAATTCATTTTTGTTGTTGTTGTTTCAATGTAGGCAAATTCTTAGTCATTATTTCTTCAATTATTTTCTCTTATTCTCTCCCTTACTTCTAAGACTATCATTGGGCATATACTATATCATATTTCTATTCTCGATGGCCCAACCTTTCTCATATTTTCTTATTTTTTTAAAGATTTATTTACTTAATTGAAAGGCAGAGTTACAGAGAGGCAGAAGCAGAGAGAGAGAGAAGTCAGTCTTCTATCTGCTGGTTCACTCCCCAGGTGGCCGCAATGGCTGGAACTGGGCCAATCTGAAGCCAGAAACCAGGACACGATTCCAGGTCTCCCACATGGGTGCAGGGGCCCAAGGACTTGGGCCATCCTCTGCTGCTTTCCCAGGCCATAGCAGAGAGCTGGATCAGAAATGGCACAGCTGGGACTCGAACCGGCATTCATATGGGATGCTGGCACTGCAGGCGATGGCTTTACCTACTACATCACAGCACTGGCCCCTCTTGTGTTTTCCACTTCTGTATCTTCTGTGCTGCTCTCTGGGTACTCAGATCTCTCTTGCATTTCACTAGTTTCTCTCCAAGCATCCAAACTGCTGTTAAATTCATCACTAAAGTTTTGCTTTCTTTTGCTTGTCTGTTTAAATTCCATGACTTTATTCCCAAAAGTCCTACTGTGTTCTTAGCAATTTTCTCAATTTTCTTATCTTGTCTTCTTCCTTCCTCAACTGATGACTTTTTTAAACTACTCAATCATTTAAAAGTATACATGTGTGACGGGTTGATGTGTGTTCAGTTTCCAATTTCAGCTCTCTGCTCACTCTAGCTTCTTGCTAATGCTGACCCTGGGAGGCAACAGTGATGGGAGACTCGGATTGAGTTCCCAGCCCTTGGTTTCAGCCATGGCCACTGAAGGCACTGGGGAGTGAAACTCTGTCTCTATCTCCCTTCCTCCCTCCCTTTCAAATAGAAACAGTTTTTAAGGTGTGCATCTGATTACTCTAGTATCTGAGGTCCAGGCATGGTCTAACCTTGTGTGTATGTGTCCTTTTGTACAGAAATTACAGAACTTTAAATATGGGATGCTGGCACTGCAGGCAGCAGCTCTACCCATTAGGCCACAACGCTGGTCCCAGGGATATGATTATATTAAAATGATTTGTTACTTACCAAATTCAAAGTTAACTAGACATCTTGGGAGCAGGCATTTGGTGCAGCAGTTTAGACACCTTCATCCATATCAGAGTCTCTGCCATCAAGTCCTTGCTCCACTTTCTGATCCAGCTTCCCACTAACACTCACCCTGGGAAGGAGCAGATGGTGACTCAAGTCCCTGCCACCACACGGGAGACCCAGACGGAGTTCTCAGCTCCTGACTTCAGCCCAGCCCAGCCCCAGCTGTGGCTGGTGTTTGGGGAGTGAACCAGTGGATGGGGACATCTCTCCCTCTCTCCTGCTCTCTCTCCCACTTTTGGAGTAATAACTATTATTAAAAAAAAAAAAAAAAAAAACAAAGTTAACTAAGCATCCTCTTTCATTTGGTTTGGCTTGGCTTGGCTTGGCTCTGCTTTCTTAAATATGGCA